CATGCAATGACTGCTTCCTGCAGTTTTTCGTCGGGGGACCGTATTAAGGTCTCCCATGTCGTTTCGGAGGGAGCTGGCAGAAGCTTTCTGGGTGGGCGAAGGCCCTCGCAATCCCAGAGGATGCGACTGGTTTGCTATGGCATTTTTGTCGCAATTTTTGCATGTTCAGTCAACCTCTCCAACTGTGAATATCGCCAAGCGGTGAGGAGTGGTTACGCTGTTTGCTTGAATTCGGCGGAGGATAGTGGCCTGCGCTCTTGTGAGGTTGCTGTGCGGTATGGGATATAATCTCCTGTCACCTTTAAACATATTCGCAAGTTGGTTATAGGAGGTCACTGCCTCTCCTATCGGGGAGCCCAGTTTCACTGAAAGTGCGACCCGGTTTGCTAACCCTCGGACCACTTAATGTGCTTCCTCGTTACCGGGGTTCCCCGAGTGAGCGGGACCCAGACATGATTGATTTTGGTTCTATCATTCTGATTGAAGTTTCTCAGGACCTTGGCTGTATTTAGTCCCACACTTCCCCTTACAAAGCTGAGAATAGCGCTCTTAGGGTCGCTAAGGACAGTGTGGGTGGTCGGATGCATAGTGACCAGCGCGCTATGGCCATTTCTTTGGCCTCTCTGATTGATGCGGCTCTAGTGGAAGCCACATTTACGATTTTAAGTTCTCCGTCCACGGCACCCAGGGTGTATGTGTTGTGTCCCTGGTTGGCGGCATCGACGAAGACCGCAATTCGGTCTTGCTTGTGTTTTTCACTTAGCCTATCTGCTCTGGCTTTTCTCCCGGCGTCGTATCTGCGCGCCAGGGTGTTTTCGGGTATTGGCTTGATGTGTAGGTAATGTCTGATCGCGGGAGGTAGTGGTACTCTGCTTCCCGTGGTGTGTATGGGCTGAATTTTCAGTTTATGCAGGATATGTAGTCCCGTCATCGTATCTGAAAGCCGTGTTATTTGTGCTGTTTGTGTGCTTCGATCAGCTCCTCTAGGGTGTTATGCATTCCAAGTTGGAGGAGCTTCTCAGTGCTAGTATAAACAGGCAAACAGACATTTCTATGTCTGTCGAATTATAGCTTCAATTTTATCTTTGTCTGATTTTCTGAGATGATAATAGAAGAAAGAGTAGACTATGCGGCTGATTAGGAAGGCCTGAATGAGCCTACACAAGTTCATCTCCTTCATGCCTCTATGTCTGTTGGCCCCTCTCCTGAGCAGTCCACCAATTTGTTTGGCGGTTTTCTGCAATTTTGTGAGGGCCATGGTATTTTGCGTGTTATGTTGAATAAGCATACCCAGCACTCTAATGGTCAGAACCGGAGGAACCGGGCCGCTTTCCAACATAATTTTTATCGGTGCTTGTTGTTGGGCGTCCGTGCCTGGCGTCTTTTTTGGCTTTACTTCTAACGATTAGGAGTTCGGATTTCGAGAAAGAGCATGTTAGCCCGTTGTGTCTAACATACTCTTGCACAACGTTGGCTGCCTCCTGTAACGAGTCATTTATCGCACCGTCCGAGCCACTGTTTGTCCAGATTGTAACACCGTCCGCGTACATGGCATGTTTGATATGTGGTATCCTGTTTAGCTGTTGTGGTAAGTTCATCATGGTGATATTGAAGAGTAGGGGGCAAGAGGACGGCACCTTGCAGGGTTCCTCTTGTGCCTAGCGAAAACTTTTGACCACGCACTTCACCTAGTTGGATGGTGGCCGTTCTTTCTCTGAGAAAGTCGGAAATGTAGGCGAACGTTCCTTCGCCCACGTTCAACTGGGATAAGCCATTTAAGATGGAAGAAATTATCACAATCCGGGAGTCTCCTGGCAATGCGGGAGACTTCGCAAGTATGTGATGATGATAACAATACATATACAATAAAAGCTCGTGAATTCGAGACCCGTTAATTTTGAAATTCTGATAATTGGGACGACTCTATTGGTCCCGGCCAAAGTGAATGTTAATCTACGAGACCAAACCTTCGTTAATTCATCAGAATTCAGCTCCGCACCACTTAATTCAGACAAATGCTGACGACTGCTGCTACACTAAAGTGTAGTAAAACAGGGCTGGCACCACTGGAGTGAAACCGAAACCTGAGCCATCATCATCGACTAGAGGGGGCAACCGCAGCGTCACCGAACGTCTGCGTCTTATTTCTTCTCCACTGCGCCTCCCACGCCATTTCCCTTTGTGTTGTTGTGTCGGCACCATCTCTTCTTGCGGAGTTCTCTTTTCTTTTTCTTCCTTAGTGGCCGTAGCATGCCCCCACCATCGTGTACTACAATGGCAACGCTGAAAATGCGGCAGAAGTACGAAGCGGAGAACTTGGCGACTAAAGTGGAAATTTCGGAAGCACTGAAGAACAGAGAATCATGACGACACATTATCACCAAGTACAACGTGAAGCAAAGCACATTGGGAAGATACGTGAAAAATGAACAACAGAGCCGACAAGCCTTTGAAAGCGAGAACTTTCATGCACTTAGAATGCGATTGCGAACTGCAGCTCATCCCCAGCTCGAAAAAGCTTTGCTCCGATGAATTACTGACTGGAGCAAAGGCGCTTTTAATATTAGACGTTTGCCTGAACACTCCCGACAGCTTGCGTGCTGTTGGCCATTTGGAACAATTATGTAAGATTGTAATGTCGGCCGGAATCTGCACAAAAATGCAAACGACAATCACCAAATACTTCAGCAAATAAAGATATGCTTCTGCAGCTTGATTTTAATGTTTTTTTGGTTCATTTGTGAATTCGACATGCAGTTGATTCAAACATTTTTTCCAGTCCCCTGAAATCTGAATTAACGCGCTTTTACTGTAGTTCTCTCCTGGTGGCGTAATATAGCACAACGCCATTTTTGTGGCCTCTGCGACCAGCTACGGCAATGCACCGAAGCCAATCACGGAGGCCATGCTATTTTACTAATTTTACTAATTTTACTTTTTTTCTTATTAGAAATGAAATATTTTTTGTAAATTTCAGGCAAGATTCGTGAAATCGTATGCATGATTGAAATTTGTACATTTTACGAGAAAATCGGAAGAGTTGCCAGGTATGTGTGTTTGTCTTTTCCATTTGCCCCTTGTGAATTTCAACGAGATGCGGGACGAATGTGCCCGAGTCTCCCATGCGGGTGGTGGTGAAAAGTTATTTATTTACAGGATATTTCGTGCAGAGAAGCTCCCAGTATTTGAAGGTTCTTGGCTTGCAGTGGGCATTTGTGCCCCTGCGGTTAGCGCATCAAGCAGATGCCAGTCGTGGAAGCGAAAGTAATGCTCCTACGCTTTCGCGCACTCATTATGCTCATCTGTTCTACCGTATCAAAGTAAACGTTAGTGCGGGAACTGAATCATGATACCACCACTTTAAGGCTGGTGCACACCGGCGACTAGCCGCAGTCGTGCAACCATTTGCGACTGGTCGCAAGCAGTCGCGAACGGTCGCAAAGCAACTGATTTGGCCAGTCGCTTCCTGACCGATTTTTTGGTCGCGCGACTGCAGTCGCAAAACAGTTTAACCAATCAGCGAAGACCAGAAGTGACGTCAGCCTTTGTTTACATCCAGCCTCCTCGTATGTTTTTTTTTTTTTTTTTTTTTTTTCTCGTTGCACTTGCCTACTGCCGCGAGGTACGAACGACACGTACGTTCCTCCATAAATTTTTGCTCGCATCAGGCGAATGCCACCACGACCAGCTTTGAGTACTTGGCTGAGCTCCTCATCGACGCGATTAAAATGTACCCATATCTGTATGACAAGCGGCACCCTTCTTTTAAAGATCAGACAAAGAAGGACCGGGCTTGGGCAGAGATCGGAAGCATGTTCGGCACGTTGAGTAAGTACCGAGATTTTTTGTTTGAGTAGCTATATAAGCAAGAACAGGTGTGTACTGCATGGCTGGGGTTGCCAATGAATGAACAATGAAAATATTAATATTTGTACTGCAAGGTTACATGGTTAGTTTGCATTAGATTTATTGACTGTGATGTATGCGAGCACAATTGTGTGCACGTTTGTTCTCGCGACTTTCCGAGTTTAACATCGAAATCGACGTGACAGAACATTGTATAGCTGATAATAAAGCTCAGACGTTCGAAATACTGCTTGCAGTTGCCAACTCACCGAGCGCATGCTCCTTGCTGTGTTTGTACGTTATGGTCTGGCCAAGGGAATGTGTGCATTTGTGAACGTGCAGCCTTTACAATGCATAATATCTAGTGCGCGGTGAGGGAGGGAAGGGGGGGGGGGTGTTAAGCTTTAATTCTGCCTATGTATTGCAGTTGTGCTGTTTTAAAAAAGAATGCAAGGTAGCTTTTGCTTTGAGCGCATTTTGTGCGCTCCATAGAGGAGTGTGTAATTAAGACATACAAAACATGTTTAGCAGCACTCTGCGCTGAAATTGCAGGCCGGTAGTTTGTGTCCTGCTTGGGTATTGCGGGGCGCAGCAGTTCGAGCAAAGTGTCGAACGTTCGTGGCGGCATCCGCATGAAGCTAACCACCAAAAAAAGAACGAGATAACAGGTCATGCACTATCTTATAAGCACGTAAAACAACCATAAACTTACTCTCGGAAATACTCCTCGTCGTGCGAGCGCAAGTCGGGAAGCAAACAACCTGCGTGGCCAGCCACCTCTCGCGAGCGAAGGTACGGTCGCACCCACCACCGCCTTTTTTGCTGTGGGTTTTCGTGCTGCCAGCGCTGACACGTTGGCAGAGCACATCAGCACCGCCACAACCTCTTCTTCATCACTAGACTCGAAGTCCATGATGCTACCGGGAGAACGCTACGCAAACACAGCCGTCGGAAACAAGCGCGTCGCACACAGCGAGCTCCGATCGCCGCTGGTCACCAAAGTTCTCGTTGATAACGAGATCTGGACGTGACTCTCCGCGTTTGCGACTTCCGGTCGCTCGCATGCAGCCTTGCCGGTGTGAACATCACTCGCAATTCGGTCGCCAGTCGCAAATGGTCACGCAACCGCGGCTAGTCGCCGGTGTGCACCAGCCTTTAAACTAGTGAAATGTCGCAGTTTGCGTGCTCAGTTATAGGTTACAAGCCTCATGATCAATGTAGGCGCATTCAACATTGCTTGCTGAAAGATGAAGCGCTAGTCAACAAAAGAACGCTGCATGTGTGTTCGGGAGTTGGGCTTGTTTGGGAGTTGGGCTTGTTTGGGAGTTGGGCTTCTTCGGGCCCGTCATGCACACATGACTTCTTGGTCGGATGCCGGAGAGAGTGGGAAGAGATTTGGCTTGAAAAAGATATGCGGGGCAAGCGGCAAGGGTTTCGGGCTTGTCTCCTCGCATCTTCCTTTCGTGCCGCTTAAAAAAAAAATTTTCCTCAGCTTCAACCGATGAACCGATTGAAAAAGTGTTTGCAGCAAAATGCTCATCATCGGACACACAACAACTTCCACGGTGTAAGTAACTAAAGTTTGTTATGGGGCTTGGCAAGTGGCCCTTTAAGACAAACAACAAATATGTCTTCTCGATTCCAGCCCTTGATAGCACTATCACCACCATCCATAACAGTGTCGAAAAATCTTAATGCTTTGTCTCATTTTTCAGTTCAGTGTAACCCCTTGGATTAACATGACCAACACTTTCCTACGACCCACTGAGGTGGTGGTGCAACAAATGATTGATATTGTGATTTACCAGCTTGGAATGGAGACTATTATTAGATCCATGAATACCTCTCAAGCCCTGATGGTTTCTCACCTACACTGCTTTCTTTGTGTCTACGCTAACTATCTAAATACCTGTGCATCATTTTCACTAAGTCTTTAGAAGAATCTTCCATGCCCGATAACTGCAGACTTTCAAACGTAGTGCCTGTTCACAAGAGTGGACCGAGAACTTTTAAACTATAAGGCAGTATCACTGACAAGTATTGCATGCAAAATACTTGAGCGTGTTCTATTTAGCATTGATATTACTCACAAGAACAGGCTTTTCTTACTTTATCCTCTGCAGCAGGCTTTCGTAGTCGTTTTTTCTGTACAACACAATTACTTGAATGGACACACGACTTATCCTGTGCTTTAAATAAGTGTTTCTCAGTCTACTGCTTGTTCCTAGATTTTAGAAAAGCCTTTGACGTTGTACCCCACTCTTTATTATTTCAAAAACTAAAATGTATAATGTCAACCATACGGCTGCGAACTGAATAATCGAGTATTTATCTTTGAGAAAGCAAAAGGTCGTTATCAATGGTAAGGCTTCCCAGGAAGTGTTGGCACAAATTCAACGCCGCAAGAATCTTACGAATCCAAGCAGTACTAGCGGCGTTACAAAGATTCGTTGCACGCTGCAATCAAATTCTCTCTCCTCTTGTCCCGACAAAAGCGCTGGAAACTAAACAGGGAGGGATGGCGGGAGCAAAGAAAGTATGCGATGCACGCCTCGAATACGCGGCTTTTTCAATGTGATCGTGTGTGAACGCATCGCGGCTCTATTACGTAAGCTCCCGGCATCAGCGAAGCATTGTCGTGTGTCCTGCATGGATACAATGTGCAAGTCGCCCATATTCCGAGCCACAAGCTACGTCACGAGCTCGTCAGCATCAAGGACAAACTAAAAAAAAAGGAAAAGTTTCCTGGCATTGTTTATAAGATTCTTTGTGCTGACTGCGATTATGTCTACGTGGGTGAAAGTGGAGATATCGAGCGATGTCTGAAAAAGCACATGACATTAAAAATAAAAACATCATTTCCAGTGCTCTCGCAGACCACGCAGAAAAAATGCACCACTACTTCGACTGAAACCGTGCTTCAGTTATTGCCCGAGAAAAAAACTGGACAAAACAGCGCTATTTGGAAGCTTTGACTATCCAGACAACGACGAACATGCTTAACTGCAACGCCGGGAATCTACCTCTGATGTATGCAAGATGCCTCAAGCGATTATTTTAGTGGATTTAAACTGGAAGCTTCGCCCTCTCAGCTTAGTGAACAAGGCTTCAGTGTGGAAACCGAAACGCCTGTCAATGTATTTTCGACACCCTCTTGGTCGGCGTCCAGTCTTTTTCGTTCTAAAATGCCATTACTTCCCGACCAAACAAGATTTCGTCCAATTCTCGACTTCAAGCATATTGTATCATGGCAAATGTCTTAAAAAAAAGTAAACACTCTTATACGTGCCACATCACCCATCTATGCAAAGTCAACAAGGGGCAACTAAAACAGGCCTATAAATAGCAGACAGGTCACAGAATGCACTCCCACATACAATACCATTTGTACACAAGGTAAAATACCCTATCACATTACATCCATCTCAATTCAATGAGTTTTGGACAAACCCCACAAAATAAGATACTTTTATCACTACAACACCTGCATTGCATTTTGGACTACCACTCTAGTAAAAAGGCCAAATTTGCCTTATCAGTTACTTAATGCTTGCCCTAGGTTAAAAATGCTATGTTCCTATTAAAATTCTCTTTCTAGCACTTATTATTTACATTGAACCTGCAACAGAGTGCCTGCATTTTCCTATAGATAGGGCTATCTATGCTTATTAAACACAGACATTTGCCCTTCTCATAAAAACTCACACATACATGCTGAATAAAAAAACTGGCACCTGGCGAATGAACACATGCAAACACTAATTTGTCATCTGTTGCGGCCACTGCAATGTCAAAGACGTGTAGTCCATCACACGCATTCTTTTCCAGACGCAGACCTTGTTACTAACTCAAAACAATGTGATCCTGAGGTTTTTCGATCTGGTAGGATATCAGGTACTCCGGGTATGCCTGAAAAAAAAAAAAAAAGCAAGACAGCTCGTGAACCAATGTGAAGGTGACATGCCAACACAATTCACACATCGCTTCATTGCTTCTCGCTTACAAATCATTGACTTCAGTCCCAAGGTATACAAGTGGGTACTTTCATTTTAGACCTTTTCAATATAGATTTAATAACTGTTCGTATTCAATGTCCCCAAACCATGACTTGATTATGAGGGATGCATTAATGAGGGCTCCAAAAATTTCAAACATCTAAGATTCTTTAGTGTGCACCTAAATCAAAGTAGAGAGGCCTGAAGCATTGTTGCTTTCATCGAAAATGTAGCCGCCGTGACTGGGATTCGACCCCACAAGCTTCATTCCAAGACAGCAATCTTACACTATAAGCACTAGACCACCGTGACAGGTCGCCCTTTCAACATAGAGGCAAGTACATAAAACAGCTCACTCTAGATATAAACCCAGATGCATGTGGAGCTAAATTAAACAAGTGCTTTATTGCTGATAATAAGGGCTACAGCACGAGCACTACGGTGCTAGAAGAAAAGTGAAACGAAAGGTGAGGCAAGGAAAGCAAAGAATACACACGAACGCTGAAACAGCGCTCGTGTTGTCCTCTTTGCTTTCCTTGCCTCGCCTTTCGTTTCATTTTTCTTCTAGCACCTTCGTGCTCGCACTGTAGCCCTTATTATCATGAATTCCAACCAACTAGCCCAAATAGCCGTTCTTCTTCAATGCTTTACTGCCACTGGCTTTTTTGAAAACTGACACTGAGACGTCCCCCACTACACCACTGATTTCCAAAGAGAGGGAAGACCACTCAACTCCTTGTCTATCCGGTTCCTTCTTGGCTATGTGTCTCAATCACTTCCCACATACAGGGATTCGTGCTGGGGCCGGGAAGAAAAAGACGCTACGACCTGTTCCTGTTTACTGATTCACTTAATTTATTACTAACTGCAAACATCGTATACCCGCGTACATCAACCACTACACAAAATTATTATACATGATTTAGACACTCGCGATGTTCGACACAGGGCAGGCACATAAAGAAAGCAACTGCAACAATGCAAGGGTATGCATATAAAAAAACACAACGACACAAATGATGAAGTTATCAATGAATAAAACCACGTAATGTCTCAACGTGCCGCTTCCCTGCCTGCAAGGCTCGTCTAAATAGGGTGCATAAAGTTCGTCTCACGAAAGGTCCATGTTGACGGGGGCCTTGGAGCTGGCCGTTCGAGTCGGGGCTCAGGGCTTCTTCCTGGGGTCATTGTCCAATTCGTCAGCGTCTTCATCGTCTTCGTCATCATCGCCTTTGTCGTGCCTCTCAGTGATTTCCATCTTAGTCCTCTTTCGTAACGCTCCATTCACTCGCCTCCTATTCCTAACTTTCATTCCTCATCGTACCGTCCTTGCCCTAGTCATCATCTCATCGCCTCTCATCGCTATCTCTTCGCCCCGTTATCTTCCTTTTCCATTCCGTCTCTCTAACATCTCGAGCTCATCGCATCATATCTCTGACTTCCCTCGTATCATCTCGTAGTCCCTTTTTGTAGGACCCGACTCTGCCCCTCCGTGGCACCTAACCAATTGCCACTGTTGACACGACACATTTCTCTGTCAGTCGGAGTGTATCATCTTCAACGGCCGCCCCCGCGGCCCACACCAGTAGAAAACCCTCTCCCAAACAAGGCCGAGCAAGTAACAATGTACAAATTCAAGCCTCAGAGAGAGAGAGATGGCTGAGCTGTCCCAAAGACACTTTAATTACGGGTGAACAGTGGTCCCGATGCTTCCACAAAGTGCGTCGTCTGTAATGGCCAACGTCCAGAGTTTGCAGTGTTGTACCAAAATGTTTTCGGCCGAACCAATTGCCCCGGTTTCTCGTACTTGATGAGCCGAAGTCCAGAACAAGTCTCGACGTCTCCGTGCAGCTTGGTGTCTCCCGCGAAATTCTCTGCAGCCGCCGCTTCTTCGTCATTCAACGCCGCGGGTGGCCATCCGCGCAGAACGCAGTAATGAGCCCTGGAGCCACGGAGGCTGACGGAAAGTAAGGCCGGGCTCGGCACAGGCACTGCAGCAAGGTCGCATTCCCCGAACCAACAAAAGGTGCTCTGCTGCTACCCCATGCCACAAATCTTGAGGGTGCACGCGTATTATTGCCACCGTACACTGTCACGCTGTCTGTAGACAACAAGGCGCCGCCCGGCCGTCGTGTTTGCGCGAGGGGGGGAGGGGGCGAGAATAGTAGAAATAATCCTTCCAGGTACTCCACTCCTGAATGCCCATTCGTTCCACCGAAGGTTTTCTTTTCCTTTTTTTTTATGCATGGGTTTAAGAAACGAGCAAAAACATCTTGAAAGGACCGGGGTTCAGTCCGTGTTTGCGGGGATGTCACAACAGGAATCTGGTCAAGTGGTCAAGTCCAGACCACTGTGTCTTCACAGATGACAAGATACAATAATAGGCTTTTCAACAAGTTGATGTGAAAGTCGACAATAGGCATGTGTGAATGTTAGAACGAATATTACAGTATTCGAATTCACTTTGACATGAAGTTAAATGATTATAAATTATTAATTATTTGGAATGAGCAAATGGACATATATATGGCATACCAAGTGAAACTATCCAGCCCAAAATTCAACCAACAGCGATTCTGTTGAAAAAAAAAAATGAGCAAAAACGTAAATGTATAGAAAAAATATTAGTTAATTATTTTTGTTCAAAAACTAAGTGGTCATGTGACCACCCTTTGAATGTTTCAGCCAGGACATAAAACTAGGCGGGAATAAATTATGCATATTGGACCCTGGAAAGAGGTAAAATGGCATCTTACATTTTGTGCATTCTTAGTTGTCATTGTTTTTTAATGTGACGTCACTAGTAAAACCACATTTAGTAGAACCCTGCTGTTGCGTTCCCGTGTGCTGCGTTTGCCTGGCTGTTATGTCATTTTCGGCCGGTCCCGGCACAGCTCCCATAGGATTCAATGCATTGGGAACCCCGCTGCTGCGTCGCAACTGTGGGACCGTTCCCGCATCATACGTTGCGAAGTGCCACGACGCGCCGGCCCGAGCGGCCATGTTGTCTTTCATGTAGCTTGGCTTGGCGGCTTGACGATAGGACTGGCTGCCCAAAGTACCGGGGGCAACACCTATGACGTATTTTCGGTTCCTGCCAGCAAAAGCATGACCTTTGAGATCCGTATTTGCACTCTAAGAAAGATTGTGTGTATGACGCGTTGGGGCCCTAAAATTGGTTTTGGCATCTGTAAAGGTAAGGTCTCCGAGACCTGTTTTTGTTTTCTTGGGATGTCACGCTGGCTTAAACTAATCACCATCGGGTCGCGCAGGCGGCCCGATTCAAAGGGTATAGCCGATCACCATCACAATCACCCATTTGTGCCCGTGCTAGCCGTGCTTGCTGCGGTCTTCTCGCATTGCCTTTATTTTGTGTCCGTCGTTGCGCAGGTTATACGAGCGTGCAGCATAGTGCCTTTACACTTCCAACGCTCCAAATAGTCTACGCTTCTGTTGACGACGCCGTTGTCACCTCCGCGATGTTATCCGTCGACCACATCGTGGCTGAGTACGCCGACCCGTGCGCCAGTGCCGAGGAAATTGAGGAAGAAGTGGAGCGGATACCGGAGCCAACGTCCTCGTGGGCCATAGCGGCACTGCATTTATTGCGAAGATATGTGAGCACCAGTGACGATGGCGAAAGCCACATGGCACTACAGGTGCTTGAAAAACGCCTTGTGCTTGTCGGGCGTGAGAAGATGCGCCAGGCAACGCTGCATGATTTTTTCAAGCGAAAGAATTAAAATTAAACTATGTGCAGTTATCCACTACTCTTATTTCTCAATTTTTCGCGTTTCTCAGATCTTGCGTTTCTCGGCTCTTGCAATTTTCGGCTCCTACGTTGTTGTTTTTTTACGGTTCCGTAAAAAACGTATCAGCGGGGTTCTACTGTATATTGCATCGAGGGAGTTTGCATATGAACACTTGTTATTATTGATGAAGCCTTAGCCGCAACAAGCTGATTCAGGTAGAAACACGGCAAGCACAAGCCACACGAACGTCAATGTCGTCTTTCACGCTGGCACAGAGCTGGCGCCACTATGCTCCGGTACAATTACTCCTCGCGCAGAAAGGAGCCAACCTGGTGACCTAAAGAAATGACACGACAGGGGGGTCTTAACATGGTTCGAGGCATGATATGTGAACTGTTTCACGCCCACAGCAGCGTTCATTCGAAAGTGGATCAATGGACTCAACTTCACTGTTGACAGGAAATTGTTGCCGGGAGAGGTAGACGGGACCCAGAGCCACACCAACATCCCCATGTTATAGTGGGCACTAGATGCAGAGCGATTGCAGTGAGTTTTCTGGCACCATTGGTCTTGCGCGGTAAATGAGCGAACGAGTTGATGACACTCTTCGGCATAAGCAGCTGCTTCGGAAACAGGCATTGCTTCAGAAACATCAGTTCTGTAGGGGAGAATGGTGTCCATGGAGCACAATGGTTCTTGTACGTATAGAAAGAAGAAAAGAGAGAAGCCAGTGATTGTGGTGCAGAGATGTACGCGTTCGTGACAAAAGGGAGCACCTGGTCCCAATTAGCGTGGTCGTCAGGCGCGTACATTGCAAGCATATCTCCAAGGCTATGGTTAAAGCATTACGCCATGCCATTGGTTTGAGGATGGTAAGCAGAGCTGGATGTAAGTTGTTGCTCACCATGTCGACACTAGACATCATGATTCCCATCGTCAGCGCCCCTACAGCATCTCGCAGGCTAAGTGTGACGTCGTCACTCAACACTTCGATGAGATATTGCAACGTAGCGTCATTCAACACACACACAGTCCTTGGGCTTCACCAGTGGTTTTTGTGCGAAAAGAGGATGGCTCCTTTAGATTTTGTGTGGATTATTGGCGACTAAACAAGATCACAAGCAAGGATGTTTATCCCCTGCCATGCATTGATGACGCCTTGGAGGTGCAGAGTTTTTCTCTTCGCTGGATCTGCGCTCTGGATATTGGTAAGTGCCAATGGCCGAACTATACCATCCAAAAACGCCGTTTGTGTCACCTGACGGCTTATATGAATTTAATGTAATGTCCTTCGATCTTTGCCGAAGGGCATTCGCCTGCGACTTCTGAAAGGATGATGGACAGTAACCTTAGGGAACTCAAACGGCACATCTGCCTTTGCTATTTGGATGACATAGTTGTCTTTTCTGCAAATTTCAATACTCATCTTTCCCCTTTGAAACAAGTTCTTCAGTGCCCTACGGCAGCCGGGTTACAACTGAACTTCAAGAAATGCCATTTTGGCGCACGCAAACTCACAATGCTTGGCCTTGTTATTCAAAAAGATGGAAAAGGTCAGGCGGAGCTAGAAGAGCTCAAATGAATAGTTCAGTAAGTACCACATCAAGCAAGTTGCCACCAAACACCATGGACTCAGAGGAGGACTGTTGGACCATGATTCAAGGACCCCATACGTGTAGATGCAGAATGGTCACCTTAACAAGGTGAACATCCTCATCTGCAAAGCCTATAATATTGCCATGGGAATCTCACCCACCACATCCACGACAAAGCTCCTCTAGATGAGGGTCCATAATACCTGGGAAAAGTTAACTGAAGTGCTAAAGCACTTCTATGGAACCTTGGCTATGCAGTCGAAAAAGAAGCCCACCAGCCCCGGTCTATTCCATGAAATCCAGGACAAAATATAAAATATCTGTTTAAATAACAAGCAACATGCACACGGAACATGACAAAGGAAGAAGACATGCACGAGCACAGTTGTTACAGCACAGGCTAGTGAGCTATACGTAAGAACAATGAGAGCATACAATACACAGATGCCAATAAATACCGATGGGCAAACAAATATATAGTTTGCGTGGGGGATGAGGAAGGTAGAGAGCGCACTGCCACTTTGACATATGCCAACGATGCAATCACCATGTAGAAACTGGGCATTGCGTCAGCGATCAGTTCAAGTGTGTCAGTAATGATCGTGACGGATTGACAAGAAGCACATCAAAGGTTTTAAAAGGAATCAATTGGCAAATCAACCTTTCAAATCCTTCTGAAGTGCTACTTCGAAGATGCAAGTATCCTCTGGACACCGGGCAAGAATCCCTCGCGGGGAACTAAGCGGCACATGCATGCTGCAGCCTGACAGCATATACACCAGACTTCTCTACAGTGATACTCTGACTTCGGAAACGCAGAGGAGGCAATACCAAGATAATACTTCGACATGATTGCACACTACCGAAAGTAACGGCGTGACTATCCACCTGCGCACAAAAGGCTAAGTAGAAAGCAAGCGGTGACCAGAAGAGAGCTACATGCAGGCACCTTTCTCCATGATACATTACTACACAATGCACCCTGGTAGCTACCACAGGAACTGTCAATACTGCCCGAACTCTGCAAACACCTTCTACAACACGGTATGAGGCTGCTGTTAAAACAACCCAAGTATCCCCTCCATGGATTAACAGAGTGGAGCAACTCTAGAAGACCAGTGGGAGGTACTGCTGACCTCTCTAAACCCCGAGGACCAGCTCCGGGTTGTGGAAAGAACTCGAGCGTCGGTGGCTAGCCATGGCTGGCCACAGACATCACCCACCTCTGGGCAAAGAGAACGCGTGCCTGGTAGCAACATAAAGTTGCCCTCTCTCTCTTTTATGAGTTAACGTAGTATGTGCTGAAATATTTTCAACATGTGTAAACAAACGTTTATTGTGAAAAATGCTTCCGAAGTTGACAAAAAATGACTTTTTCAAGGATTCACTTGTCAGTTAAGCACCAAGGCCCTCGTGATGAAAAAATATAAGAAGGTTCATTATACGTGTCAAGATCTTTTCTTGTGATGTGGAAGCTTTAGCAGCGAAAAAGTAATTTCCACATTCGCTGGCAACAAAAGTGGTCACCACAGTAATTTCATCCAAAATATTGCGATTGATTATTGTTTACTTTTGAAGTGTTAGACCTTTTTTTCACTAGTTTTAGGCATTTTTTAGCCTTGTTTCAGGCTTGTATTGACTGCTGCATGACCATGTGACAGTTCGGTATTCTGAAGTACGTAGTATTGTAATAATTTTACATTGAAACTATTAACAGTTGGCACGAAATTTTATATAAAGTCGTTAATCTGAAAAGTTCGTTAATGCGGGGGTTCATTCTACCGAGATTCCACTGTAGTAAAGAACAAAGACGAAGCAAGAAACGAAATTTAGGGGGAGAAAAAAGTCACGGGAGTTATAATAGCGAAAATTTCGAGTGACGTCCTTACTTGTTTTGACCCCTGAAATGCACGACAAATATTTTCTTGTAGCCTGAAGCACTTTTTGTTTCGTCTTGTAACGAAAGTACATGGATCGACGCCGAAGTGTCGTTTAGCCACTTGGTTTCAATGCTCCAGCCCATGCTGTTAGTACCTGTAGCTAGCATGCCAGCTGACCGCGCCCTGCGCAGCAGGTGTCCCAAGCTAAGTTCACAATGACAAACCCAACAACAAAAACACAGCGTCGGATGGCGGCGCGCAAACATTGTGGTAAACGATGCGGGCGCACAACGCGCCAACGCAGTGAATGCGGTTGCGCTTTGCATAGGTACGAGATGGCGAGTGCGTGGCGTGTTCCATGACGCAACGAGAGCGCCATTTTGGACTCCACGTGTTTTGTTTTTGTGTCGCTGTGCTTGCATAGCGCTTTCAGCAAAGAGCCTGCATTTAACAGATGGCGCTTTGCCGTACAAGGTGCAACTTCAAAATTTGATTGTCGTCGTTCGTGCTCCCACTGCTCGCAAGTCGTAAGCATAGTTGCAAAACTATCTTTCGCTTTCATTGCGTTGTTGTTTTGTGACATAATGACTTGATTTAACATTCTTTCGATTGTTAACAGCACTGCTTATCATACCAAAATAAAATGACAGATACCACATTAAAAAAGGTTTTTTTTCTTCTTTCAAGGATCGAAGTGGGGGGGGGGGGGTTCATTATGCGAGTGGGTTCATTACGCAAGTAAATACAGTATTCGCATTAAACGTGGCAGTATCAGTCAGCACTGCCAGTAGCCATGATAATGATTGAGCAGCATTCTTCTTGTGCCTGTTGGAGTCACATAGCATGTGACCTTATTACAAATAGTGCAAGAAAGACAAAATTTATTCGCTCAACATATCTGTCTCAGTTTAAGTGAAACCCTAAAAACACTCAAAAACTGAATTGCAGATAAGAAAAAAGAAAAGGTGTCCCATTAATTGTTCCGTGCTTGCGCCTTGCAGAAATGTAACAAAGCAGCATAAGAGATGTTTCAGCATGCCCAAAAAAAGAACTTGGATGTGGTAGTGCGAGCTCACTTAAAAGGAGCTATAGCATCGAAAATGAACAATAAAAAAATTACACCATCTCCGGCTAAAGGGAACCTAGTGTAGATGCGAAGCAGCATGCGCTAATGCTGACACTGGTGGTGGCGTTACGCAGGAGAGAAACCTAGAGAGGTACAAGGCATGCAGTGATAGACAGGTGTTTGCTACTGGAACATGCCAATCGCTGCTAATGGGCAATGAGAGAAGACTCTGATGGGACACAGAGACCCACAGTTCGCTTTTAGTTAATGCACACACTGTGAATTTTTATTGTTTAACAACGCACAGGAGAGATCTCTCACTGCCACTACCTTGGAGGCCATGATCCAGTTATGGGGGGGGGGGGGGGCAGTAAACGGTTGTGCAGTGCGAGCAGAAGTGTTTTTTTTTTTTTTCAATCAAAAAACTTGTTAGCAGACACTTCCTGCATCAGTGTTGCAAAGAGAGAGGGGGAGCGTAAGAGAAAGAGAGAGGGGATGCCCATTAGCAGAAAGGGTGGTCACGCCACACACTGAATTGAGCTTGACCATAAGAAGTTTCACATCTGAAATTGGAACGTATTCGAATCGCTGTCCAGCAAAGGATTCAACAACTACAATATGAGACTCGTGCACCAGGATACATGGCAAATCAGTCTTGCTGAAGCCCACAAGATTGGAAACAATTATTTTGCATAGATGTACAAGACGTGATAGGTGAACAATTGAAAATTCTTGCAACTACCTTTGCAGGCGACTGAGTAGCTGACAGAATAATTTAAAACAAACTGCAAAGCCTGCATGGAATGCACAGCACAGTCGCAGAGAAAGCTGGAAGAGCAGCCTTTCCAGTGCCTTTTTTCTTGGGCCGACACCGATAAGCACACTTGCATGGTACCCACTACGCCTTAAATCATAAACTTTTGTGTAGTGGAGCACCCCCCACTATATATTGCATTATTAATCCTTCTTAGGAGAAGCATGGTACACACCTATAAATCACTATGCGCTCTTTGTTGATGCTGTGGCAGACGACAATGAATTATGCCTGAGGCTTTTGTAATGGGTTGGAGCATTCAATGACCCACTCCTTACGCAATTCGCATTGTGAGACGACTGGTTGTTACTTGACTGTTATAAAACACTTTCTTCACATGTTAATAGGATTCCTTACCCAACATCAAGCCTGCATAGGGTCCGTACGCAATGGAGTTCCAAGTACCGGCATAGCTCAGTGGTAGAGTACTGGGCTGCCATGCAGAGGACCCAGGTTAAATTTCTCTGTCCTCAGTAATTTTCATTTAGTTCTTTTCTTTTCGAGCGATAGTGGTTACGAACACTACTGGCAGTGGCGAACAACTATGACGCCAGATTGGACCTTGTTATCTTCCAACAGCTTTCACTGTAAAATCCACTGACCTGCTCGCCACGGTACACCACATACTCGGGGTAGGAGAGGCCACCCACACTGGGCCGCCCAATGACCGAATGGTGGCCAGGTGGAGCATGAGCCATCTTCATGGCACTGAACTGCAGGAATGACTTTCCCAGTGTCACACGACACAACAGCATCTGCCTGCAGAACAGAGAGCTCAGCTCAACACGAGTCGCCCATTTGTAACAGTTTTGGGCTGTTTTAACACAATAAGCAAGTTATTGCACTTTATCTGAGAGCAGAGCAGAAGAGGAGGATGAAAATAGGGCATGGCAAACAGCTTCGCTGTTAAAAACATGACTATATATATATAAAAATATTAAAAACTGCATGCTTACATTCTACTCGGGAAAAGTACATGCATTGTGAAAAAAAAAAGGTAGAGGAACAATGCTTTTCTTTTTACATGAAATCCAAGCTCAAGAAGTTAACTTTACTTTGTATTACTTAGCCTTGGTAGGACTTCACGTTAACTCACTCTAGCTTAGTTCTTCCCTCACAATCCGCAGTTGGGACGTTAACTCTTTCGGGACCGCCCGAAAAAAGGATGAAAAAGAGAGGTGTGGGTAAAAATTTTTTATTATATGAAACAAAAGTACTACACTACTTCATCATACACCAAAATGCAGGTTATTGAATGGTTTTTAACATACAAAACAAATGTTTTACCTAAACATTGCACACAACAAATGAAAAAATCTGAAAGTAAGAACTTAAAGAAAAAAACACAAAAAAGTTTTAAAAAGTGTAAACACAGAAAGTTGCAACAAAAATAAAATTATTTGAGAATATACAAAATGTGGCAAAATGCTTTCTTTCTTGATCGTAAAAGTTTGGTGTGGCTAGGAGTAACGGTTTTTTGTGTGAGCCCTTTGGCACTAGGTACCAGCACTTGCACACGTGCCTAGGTTGGCGTTGCACGACGCGTGTGCCACTCGCCGAAGCAGTTCCGCACTGAGGTGAAACACAGGTGAACTTGGCACGTGTCACAAAAAAACGTTTGTTTTGAGCTCGACTTTGGTGCGTTCGTAGCACAACTTGCAGTTCTTACGTTTTTGGACTTTTTGTGGTTTGTGGTCCGCATGTTTTGGAGTGGGTGGTGGAGGAGATCAAGCTTGTTTGCCATCAAAGCCAAAAATCTGCTCAAGAAGCTCTTCTCTGAAGGCCAGATGATCATACCCGGCTTTTCGACTGAGCCCAGGGATCTCCGGGTGTGATGCACGATGTGCTTGAAAAAGCACAAAACTGTTCACGCGGGCAATGTCGATGCAATGAAAAAATAACGTCTTCCACCACCGCACACTTCGCATCAAGACGTTGTAGTAACCAATCATTTGATCCGACTTATCTACTCCCAGCATTCCAGAGTTGTATTCGTCAATCAGCAATGGCTTGGGCACTGATACTTCAGTCCAGGTGTTACCACTCCGCACTCGTCTTTTTGCAACAACTTTCTTGTTGGCAGTGTGGATGGTGCTGATCATATTTACAACGCGCCGATCTTTCCACTGAAGGTAAAGGATGTTGCCATCTCGCATCCATCGAATGTCCCCACGTTTGACTTTTTTTTCCCAACGTGGCTCCTTCAGTTCTTTGGGAAATCCTCGGCGATCTTTGCGCGTTGTTCCACAAGCCAATGTTTTATCGTCAAGGAGGTAATCAAAGAGGTGCGTCGAAGTGTAAAAATTGTCCATAAAAATTTTGTATCCCTGATCAAAGTATGAGGAACACAGATCGCACACTACATCAAAAGCCAAGCCATGAGGCCCCGGCTGCACACGGCGGCCAGTGTAGACACTGAACTGCACAGTGTATCCTGTGTCAGGGTCAGCTAGCACCCACAGCTTGTATCCCCACTTAGTCCCCTTATCTTTTAGGTATTGACGAATTCCAGACCTCCCTTTTGATTTTACCATGCGCTCGTCCACGGAGAGATCTCGATTGGGCTGGAAGAGCTGTGCTGACACTTGGTTGATGTGCTCAAGAAGCCACCGCATGTATCGCAGCTTTCCTTTTGACTGTTGGTTCGGATCATCCAAGTCCGCAATTTGGAGGAGCGCTAGCAAAGCGATAAATCGCTTTCGGGGCATGATGCATCGTGCAAGGAGACCACTATAAAGACTTCCTGCGTTCCAGTAAAGTTTAAGTCTTGGAACATTCACAATCCCCATGTAAATCACCAGCCCAATGAACTTCAGCAGTTCACTGGGGGTGACTTCCTCCCACGAACCATCTGGCCGAGAGTGCGTCGGTTTTTCAAGAATGCGGGTCCACGCATACTTGTTTGTGTTTTCGCAAATCATTGCAACAACTTCCGCAGAAAAAAACAGAAGAAAGAAATCCAGGGCAGTCAAAAACTTCTTCGTCCATCTTCACAGGGCCATGGCGACGTCATCGCCCAGGTAGACACCGGGCTGTCTTCTTGGCAAAAACTCAATCCGCTTCTGCACTGGTGGCAGGAGATCACCACCATAGGTGGTTGACACCCTAGCGAACAGATATACACCATAGGTGGTTGAAACCCTAGCGAACAGATATAAATCAGCGAGGACATATACCGAGTTCACATAGCTACTCAAGAGCCAACTGAAAGCGAAACCAACACTCACCTTCCAGCCCCGCTTGAAGTTCCCAGCTGATCATCCCCTGAATCCTCACTTGAGGTAAAATCTGAGCTCGTAACTTCACATTTCGAGTCATCACTGCCGCTTTCATCGCTAAAATCTACTGTGGAAGCCGAAGATGCGGGAGGCGGAAACGTTTTTCTTATCGCGCTCGCGCGCGAGCACGACGCCATGTTTATTACTGTCGACGCCGCCGCACTGTCAAAAAAAATATCTGACGCGTCGCCGCCTGGCGATAAAAAAGCAAACTTCACAAAATAAAAAATTTTAGTTCTCAAACTATCTCACAGATGGGGGCAGGTGTTCCATTGAGCAAAAATTTTTATTCTGGAGGCGCGCGAAACCATCGATCACATGTGATCGACGGCCTATGGGCGCGGTCCTGAAAGAGTTAAACCTCACATATCAATCATAATCCACAGTGAACATGTTCCATATCACCAAGGTAGAGTGCACATATTGGCACCTGAGCGAACTCTAGCACTGCCTAAGAGTGTCACGCAGAAATAACTAAAGCAGCAAGCTGATTTTAGAGCTCGCCTGCATCAAACCAAGACTCTGAAGAGTGACCATGTTCAGTTCAACCATTAATCCAAGCAATTATGATTGATTTACCTGTTTTTACAGAGGTACTACCCACCAAAGGGCTATGTTTCACTACATCTTGACTTTTCAGTAGAGTTGACCATTGAGTTGCTGATGGCCTATACAACCTCAAAAAGTAGCTTTGATCATTCGTAAATGCTTATTCATGACTAGTCAAATGTAAGCACATATGTACAATAATATATTTGAATTCGCTGATGTCCACCACCTTCCGATTTATTCATTGATTGATTAATTTGTGGGGTTTAACGTCCCAAAATCACCATATGATTATGAGAGACGCCGTAGTGGAAGGCTTCGGAAATTTCGACCACCTGGGGTTCTTTAACGTGCACCCAAATCTGAGTACACGGGCCTACAACATTTCACCTCCATCGGAAATGCAGCCGCCACAGCCGGGATTTGATCCCGCGACCTGAGGGTCAGCAGCAGAGTACCTTAGCTACTAGACCACCGTGGCGGGGCATACCGATTCATTCAGAAAATATGTTGCTGACATTTATGTATCTTATGTTTCGGAAAAACACACTAGCTATATAGGTGATCAGTCAACCTACTATACACGCATGTTTTTCATTTTGATTTATTATTGTTTATTATTGTGATAGCAATTATATGGACACTCTCAGCTGGATTTCTCCACCGGCACCGGCGTCATGCACCGTATATGTATACGTATCCGTATATATGAAAACGCAAGAAAAGAAAAAATCCCAGAAAAAAAAAAAAAAGACTCCGGCGCACAGAATCGAACGTGTGACTTCCACGTCGTGAATGCGAGGCGTTAACCACTAAACCACCGAGAGGTACCTCCGTCAGCGTTCAAACGGCAAGCTATTCATATCTATCACCGCTGTTGGGGGGGCATCTTGGGGGGGGGGGGGGGGGGATTATCGTGTTTTCAGCATGATGAGGAAGATGGCGCAGCGAGCACGCGGCGGCTCTCATCTCTCACGCGTACTTTGGCCAGCGTAGAGAATAAAAAGGTGTACTCTCGATCGCGCGCCCTTATTTTGCAGTGGGGAGAATCGTATGTCTTGGCTAGCCTTTGGGTTTCGTTGGAACAATTCTGTTGTATTTACTGGGTGCACAAAGGTCACTGCAATCGTTGCACACCATCAGTTAGCGAAAAGGGCATGCTTTTCAAACACAGCAAAGTAACAACTGAGACGCTTATTCGCGTTCATCTGTACCTGGTAGTACTTTTCGTGCGTCAATTGTGCGTGAGAAATGCAGGACACGTTTCGATCTACTTACCATTCAGCGCGTGACCTTCCTATCGCGCTCAATGCTTCGCCTTTGCGGAAAAGCTGTGACTTTTTTTCATGCAATAAACACTAGTGACTTGCATAGAGCAAGCTCTTTAACACTTTCCTGTTCAAGGAGCACTGGAGATTTTTTATTAGAGCAACCTCACTATCCTTTACCAATTTGATGAACACCAGTGATATATCTTTAGATCTAACATTTCCCTGCTTTACGAGCACTACTGACATAAACTTACAGCAAGCACTTTAAAGGGACACTAAATGCAAATGACAATTCATGTTAGAGTGAAAGCTCAATGTATGACAACATCTAAAACAGCAATACTATCTATGGCAGTACCTTACTTACCAAGAAATTATGCTAAATATATCATACAGTGTGCGCCACGAGAGGGACATTTGCGAAATGATCCTGATGACGTAAAAGGGTTCAACTACAATTAATAACTAGTAATCAAACTAGCTGCCATCAAATAAGAGCTTTCCATGCATCAAAAGACGTAATAAAATGCTGCTTGTCTGTTTATGTTTGATTTATAGAAAAAACAACTGCCGGGCATTACTATGTGGAATGGCGTGGGTGGTACAAAAGTTAACTTTCTAGTTGATTAGGCAGGATAAGTGGTGCCATCTAGTGGGGCCCTGTTGAACCAAGCAAGCAGAACCATGACCTCAGAGATGGTAGAAAATTATACAATGGCCGCTGTCGCTACTGTGGCTCCCGCTAATTTCACTCTGCTACTATGGTGTCGGCGGCCACGTGGTAAAGGTGGGCTATGTTGGGCACGTAAAATGCGATGTTCGAGAGTCCGCTTTCATGCAGGTGACTTGAAGCGGGCTAACGCGATGTGGAAAATTAAAACGAGATTTCATTTCAAAATAAGCAGTTGGCACAAAGGTAGGTTTGTAGACTGCTACTTTCCGATGCTACAATCAACATCAACTTAATATTTGCCTTTAGTGTCCCCTGAAGACTTTGCTATCAGTGTCCATTCGCTTTCACAGACTGCTATGAATTAAGGTCCCTGCCCAACTCTAAAGAAGACTTGCCTGTGGCAGATGTAGCAGGAACGATCTTTGTGTAATGGGCAGCCCGTACCTCCACAGGTGCCATAGACATACTGGTTGCTTTTGGATGAGTTTTCAGCAAAGTAAATGCCTACAACAAAAACAAAGCTTATGAAACAGCAATACAACACAAGAAAAAAAAAACAATCTATGCAAACAAAGCAAGGAATGGGTTTCATCCTGGAGAGATTAATAGAGATCAATATTTTATGCAACTGCCTATTTTGTTCCTTGTTTTACTATCCAGCCTTTTCACTAAGTGAGCACAAATGAGTGTTGGCAACTTGTTAAGCACAGTAGGGATGGTAACATGTATACACTCTTTTTACAGTACAGTTATATATGGTAGAGTTCTGGCTGACTGCGTCCATGAATAAAACGATGAGTAAACCAGCAATTTTTGGTCTACTCATCACTGTTTCTTGTGTGTAAAAGCGCGGTTGCACGGAGCAAGCACGCAACTGACCACATGTTTGTGGCATACCTTCTTTCTCACAATCAATCACGGGCATGTCTGCAGGAGCCATTCTTGCTCAGACATTGTCATGTTCATTGTGTGGCCTTGGTATGCTTGAAGAACAACGTGCTCGCGAGAACTTATGCGAAGAGCAGCGAGAAAGAACACACTTGAGATGCCAAAACATTGAGAACAAGCGATGAGACGACCCTGACATTGCTGCTGGCCATTTCACTGGCGCCAACACAAAGTGCCGCTGACTAATACTTGTGTCGCAAGAGGAAGGCCATGGAACCGATGGTCTATTGACTTAACTTTCAAGCACAAGCTGCCACACGAGTGTGATGATAATGCTCGAGTGATCCTGACAGTGAACAGAGGTGTGTTTGGGCTGTCGCTTAATGAAAGCATGCAGTATGGTTAGAGCAGTGGTACGTTTGCCATACTGTACACACGCAGTTAGCATGATAAAGTCAAAGCAGCGAGGCTCCTCGGTGCTCACGATTTTCCACCTTCTACTCTGCAAAAGCGAACTTCTTTGGTTTCTGCAAAGGCGTTCGCACCAAGCACGGTTCCGCACTAGCGGCAGCAATCGGCAGCCCAGCACGCACAGGTAGACCAAGTTCTAAGGGTCATTTACAGACTGATTTAAGCTTTCTGCATAAACTGTGCAATTTATTAAAATGCTTTAAAGCTGTGAATCGTTGCAGATAACTGCCGCTCGGCCAAATGCATTTTCAACTGCTCATTCACAGTACGATATCCACTGGAGTGCTACGTCACCCAGGCTGCTGACATAATTGGGTGACGAATGTGTGCAAGTAAGATCAGCTGGTAGGGTGGCGGCACCTGTTGGAGTAGATATCCACCATTCTGTGATGTTTGTCTGTGTTGCTAGACGTCGTACGTGCTGCCAGGGCACATTGGGCTATGGTCTCAAGAGATTTAGTGAAACCTGCCTGCGTGCAATCTGGTCATGACTAGACGAAGCTAAAATCGTTCAGCGCACTATTGAGAGCTCTGCAACCGCCAGAGATGCCAGCTCATCTCACAATTGAGGAGGCAAAGCAGGAGTGAGAAGAAGGGCATAAATATAATTGTCCGTATCGGCCTTGGTACACAGCGTGTCACTACATTTGTGGTCTGAATGGGTTGATGATTGCTAAGGTTAAGGCTTGGGTGAATAGGTGCACATAGATAGTAAAAAACACAGTGCGAAAATGACAAGAAAAAGACAGAAGAGACATGAAAGACCTCTCCTGCCTTGCTTCTTCCTTGTTTCTGCACTGTGTTAATGCTGACATAACTTCAAAAAACCGTTTTAGGGTGCCTTTAACAGCACGCGGAAGGCTTATAGTGGCACTACCTCACACGCGTGCCTGGGCAGATAGCTGAAGATTCTGTGATAAGGCTTTTTGTCGGCGATGAGTCCTACTGGCACGTTTGTCAGCGGTTGCCACATCGCCTTCTTTCATCCCCCTTGGTTACCAGCTAAGGCATCACCGCAAAAGCGCGGAAGTCGTAACAATTGATCGGCTGATTCAAGGCTTTTCAAAATGACAAAAAACAGTTCACAGCACATTGTGTTGTCAGCAAGTTCAACGGCACAGTAAACTTTTATGGCACAAAAAGTGAGATGGTATGCAGCTGGTGCGCTAACCGGTATGCATAAAACGAACCATCACTGCTTAAGTGGTCAGCAAATGCATTAGTTTTTATGACAATCTGTCGAGGATTTTGTTAGCTATGTTTGAACTGTAAGTACGTCTAAAGCGGCTACATATTAACGAAGTTCGACAGTAATACATCCTCATTTTAAATATACAAACAATTAGTATGTAGTTACGATGCTGAATTTCTGACTGCATCTAATAGAGCACAATGTTTTTGGTGACCGCTCAAGTAGTTCATTCTACCATAGCAGTTAGTGTGTATGCTGCACACAGCAGAAACTTTTTGTGCCATAAAGTATACTGCAGCGCTAAACATTCCGATTGATTGATTTGTGGGGTTTAACGTCCCAAAACCACCATATGATTATGAGAGACGCCGTAGTGGAGGGCTCCGGAAATTTCGACCACCTGGGGTTCTTTAACGTGCGCCCAAATCTGAGCACACGGGCCTACAACATTTCCGCCTCCATCGGAAATGCAGCCGCCGCAGCCGGGAATCGAACCTGCGACCTGCGGGTCAGCAGCCGAGTACCTTAGCCACTAGACCACCGCGGCGGGGCAGCGCTAAACATTCTGCCAACACATTTCTTGTCTTTGTGAAGTGCAGAAACCAGTGGATAAATGATCCAACTTCCATTTGATTGTGGCAATACCTTTGCAGATAGGCATAAGAAAAGAACAAAGGCAACGTGTTGGCCACCAACAAACATGCCAGTACAACTTATCACCAATGGTCTTACCCCAATAAGCTTCTACAGCTATGCGCTCGGGCACACATGTCGCGTAGTGCTACTTTAAGCCTACTGCACAATTTTAGCTATCGATCGCTTCCACCTCGTTATACGGGACCACGTTCAAGCACGCACCGCTTTTAGAAGCAACATAGCAGCTCGCTATCGCAGCATTGAGCGTTGCGGGTCGTGCATCGACAAACCTCGCTACACTGACACTATCCCAATACCCAAGCGTACAGTACAGCAATCAGAGTGGTGTTGTAACCATACTGCACAGTTTAATTAGGCAGCAACCCAAACGTGTCTCACGTCTGCAACCAGGAGCGCTAGAGCGTCGAAAATTGCATATTGCTTGCAGAAACTTAACACTGCAGCGTGGTTACAGTGTTGCCACTGATAGTGAATCGGAATGCATCGGCTATGACAGTGAAAATAGTGCCATTAGCAAATGCGGCAGGGAAAGTGTACAAGATGGTGACCATCGTGTACTTCTGCTCACGATGCATCATGAGCGGAAGTATGCGATGGTCGCCATCTTGTTCCAAAAGCACCTTGTGGTGTAGGAATGGCGCATATTAGACAAAAAAAGACCCTTTCAGAACAGCATGGCGCAGTAATTTCCAGTTGGTGCTGGTTGACGCTATTGGCAGCGGTTTCCCTCCACCGCAAGCAAAACATTTTCCAATGATTAATGCTAGGGGAGGTCTCTCAGCTTGCCACAACTAATTATCAGCAGCCAGCAGCTTAGGCCACAAGCATTTGTTGAATGCACACACAGCACCTGTCACTACCCGATGTTTCTCTTCCTTGGGAATGCAGGGATTGCAGTGGTGGCTATTGTCCAGTGATTTCAAATCGAAGGCCATTAATTTGTGTGCTTTTTCCCTTCCGTATTTGTTTCTCGGTGCAAAAGATAAACAGAAATCCCTGCATCATGACACAGACAACTATGGTGTTTCGATCAATGATATGAAAATAACTCGTCACTGCAAGAGCACTGAATGTTCCTCAAGACCAGACCACACAGACCTTTCGCTAGCAGTCCATTATTGCATCCTCTCTATAAATTTTCTGAAGTATGTTCAATATCTACACAGACGTGACTGGCCTAAAGCATTTCTCTTTTCTCTCCCTCTTTTTTTCACCATGAGGCAGATTATGCGTTCACTATGTGTTGAAAAATAACCATAGAAGAGGAACTATTCCAGAATCGGCATTCACGTTTCAGTCATTCTGGAGATCATTTTCACAAATGACCCACATTAGAGACCTCTTTCAAATGGCAATATCAACTGACCCTCTGGTCAAATCCCTGCTCCAAACACTCCTATTTTCTTCCATCTTCTGACCATAAGCTTGTCTACCAAGGTGGGGGGGGGGGGGGGTTGTGTTTGCACAACCATCACGTAATTATACAGGATTCCCCAGCTACAGGTTAAACATATACTCACCGCATGATGCGACGAAATGTGTGTAGCTGGCATCAAAAATCTCGCACTATTTTCGTGTTAATTGCCTAATGAGCTATGTTGAATGAACTTTTGAAGCAACAAAACTTTTCCATATAGCAAGCTGTAGATCAGTTGACAAATGTCCATTTAGACCGTTTCTAATGTTCTACATATTAAGTATTATTGTTTTTCATTACTACACATGCCTGCAAAATATGTAGAAATACCACATGACATTTTCACTCGTGCACCATTGCGTACACCGAATGCAATACTCCCTACATGGGAGGAAATGAGCGTAGCACTTTCCCAAGAGTGCTACTTTGACAAGGCAGCAACAGTGGTGGTGGTGTCCGTGCAATGACGCACATTTTAGTAGTGGCAACACATGCTTGTCACGATAATCAGCATATCGTTGTGACAAACCAGGGTGATATTCTAAACACTTCTAAATTGCATGAATTATAGTGCCTCCATTGGAGGTCATTTGCGTCACCTCCAATGCAGGCACTGTCATTTCTGGGACAGCACAGTGGCAGTTCGAGCATCCATACAAATGCTATTGCAGTGAAAAAGCACTGACCAGCCCCAAACATGCCACCAATGTAGGCATGGCGTTCATCAAACCCTTTCTGAACAATGGCATTGATAAATGGGGAGCCATGAAAGAGCATGCGCTCATTGGACTGGTTGTGATTCTCTTCAGCGACTTCCTTCCTCCGATGACAGTAGCGTTCCAGAAGTTTCCGATTGCGAACTTTTTGAATCTGAGAGAGACAAAAAAGCAGACTAAGTACAACCACAAGGAATGAAGTGCTTTGTAACACAGAACAGTTGAAACTACAAGTGGAGCCAATGCCAAGAAACACACTGACCAAAAGCCCAACATACCTCTTGGTCTGTCATCAAAGAATGCCCTGTAACACAATACAGCAAGAAAGAAAAGCACTAAAAAAAGAGCAAACTCCATGAGTTAGGTGAGTGGCACCAGTTAGGGCTTTTTGGTTTATTATCATGGAATAATCTGTATCATGGCAAATGTTTTTCTTCCAGCATCCCTATTTCCTGCTGGGGCCCCTTTACAATGCCAAATTAAAAATTTTTTTGGTTGCAACAAAAATTAGTTCAATAAAGATTTCTATTACAAAACTGATTGTTCTCAATTACATCCATTTTTCTGCAAGCTTTTTAATTGACCACCTTGGCATGTGGTAACATTTTGACATCGGAGATATTTACATAAAAGAGACTCATTTTTGCCAAATCTGGGCTCTTATTCTTGGGCCTGTGTACAGCACCAAGGTGAAAATGAAGATCTAGAAGATGGTCCTTTCTATGAGAGTGATAAGTATTCTTTACTGACCATATTTTGTCAACAGGTATTTGAAAATGATTGCCAAAAGCATTTTCTTCAAAGATAACATTGCATCTTGGTGGGCTGCCGTTACTCACCGAAGCAAATTTATAAAGAATGTCTGAGATAATTATTGGACAACTCAGCGGCACACTGATTCTTCTACTGTTAAAGAATATTGAAGTGACTACCACATGCAAGAATTTTTTTCTCATTCCTAAAATTTAGGAATACACTGAAACTAATGATTACATAATGTATCGCTTGTAACTTTTTCCTACTTTTCTGGACCTTGGTTGCCTGTCAACTGTAAGACAGTTGGCAAAGGATGACCCAGGAGTAAAGCACAACAGACCTTGATAATGTTGTAACGCATAAAAATTCCGCCAGCATATCCATTGTCCCTATGTTCACGAATGGTGGCTTGAAGCTGTAACAAGAGTCAAGTTTAGAAATTACTCCAGATGTTGTAACCATACACTATTTGTATAATTGCAATAACTTCAAATCAATAAAACTGAAAATGTCATGACTTAATGCAATAAACTTTTTTCCAATAATGAACCTGAAAATTACTGACAGGAGAATGATATGATTGCAAATTTTCAAAAATACAGACATTGTAGACAACACAAGTCATAGATGAAAAATGAAAGGAAACGCGCAAACAAGCACATACACCCACATAGATGACTTCATTTGCGATTAAATTTGCAAATAAAAATGCTGCTTGCCAGCCCAAACTAAAAAAAACTAATGCTAAATATGCAGCTGCATCGGACTGCTGTTTTAAGCTTAGTTATAGCAAAATCTTGAACGTAGGTGGACATGAAATAACATGGAAATAATATGAAATAATTGAAGTGTCTAAAGCCAACCTTACAATAATGCCGTATTTATTCGAATCTAGGCTGTAGTTCTTATTTTCAAAATTTTTGCATCGATCTCTAGGATCGGCTTATATTCGAAGATTTCAAGAACGCAAAATTTTGCATTGAGAAAAGTTGTGCACAACTAGCGCCACCTAGACAGTATTGTAGCCATTAGTAGCCGAGCCAACACCTGGCTTAAATACACAAGTTAAACGGTCATTTTGATCTTCGTGGTGAGTGCTGAGGCGAGCTTTTGGTCATTACGAGTCGTACTTCGAGTGATCTCTGTGTGGCATAGCTCAATTACGCCAAACAGGTTGTCTCATTATAGTGCCACTTATTAGAAGAAAGTTGTCCTAGCTGCGGAGTCATCGTTTAACGTTCAAGCCAGGTGGGACTTTGGAGTGGAAGAAAAAAATGTGTGTTGCTGGTGGGTCTGCAGCATGGGACAACATCCCAGGAACTTTGATTGTGCGCTCTTTTAAGAAGTGCGGCATATCCAATGCGCTTGATGGCACCGAGGATTGAGCCTTGTTAGAAGACAGCGCCGAGGAAAGTGGCGACGACGACTCGGAATGAGCGCGGCACCAGCGAACGCGGCATCTTTATGATGGACACCTAACTAGAAGCGGAACTAAAGGCAGTGCGAGAAAAGCGACGGCAAAGAAACACACACAACACGACTAGTGCCTCTATGTTTCTCAAGTTATTTGCATCATGAATCAACTGCTTTGTTTCATATCATGTTCAATAAATGCTTTCTCTTTGTGAACGCTATCTTCACTGTTTCGTTCGGCCTACATTTGAGGCAAGTTTTTTTTTTTCCCCACGCTTCAGACTTTTGGGGGTCTGCCTAGATTTGAGTATATGCGGTAAGTCAACTGTGCTTGCAAATGATGCACAGTGACAATAAAAATTATTTTAAAATGTGCTTACGAGATGAATCTACATGCCAGGAGTTCAATATAACTGCTGAAGTGTTATAGTAAAAAAATGTTGCAACATGATAATGTTTTTAGTCAAGAAACTAATACAGTGTATAGAAAGCCGACATTAAACAGACGGCGCGATGGGGCTTTTTTGAATCGCCTCAGCCAGGGATACCAAGAAAATGAAACTCTCGCTGAACACATCGACACACTGAAGTGTCAGCGGCCTCTTTGGCCCGTTTTCAAAGAAGGCTTACTGGATGCTTCTACCTGTGACCCCCCAAGCCACAGCTAACAAAGAAAAAATGTGCCCTGGCAAGTCCTGTTTTGCTGCGTCTACTTGCTAGGCTGTGTGTTCCGGCGCTACCACCGGATCTCGTAAACTGCATTGCCGGGTGCCTATAGTTAATGGAGCAAGGAAAGCAACACATAACTAAGGTCGGCGCCTCTATTTTTTCAGAGCCAGTCAAATGCGCCCGATCCAGCCGTTCACCACCCTCTCCTCCAGCCCTTTCATGCTCTCACCCTTCGCCTAGACTTCGTGTGTTCTTTGCTGTCATAAGGAAGAGAACCCATCATGTCGACTGCAATATTATGAAGTAATTTTTTAATCAGTTGTGTACAGATCAGTGGGGAGGTGTCTTGCATTCCTAATGTTCACAATATTGCCAATCACCCTGCCTCTATAAGAGATATTGTGTTTTTTGATAGCATGTAGCGTTCGTGGTGCTATGTGAGCAACCAATCAGGAAGCGTCACTACGACACTGCTACATGTGCTGACTTTAAGAGAGCTGTAAGGAGACGGTACTGCTTCGTGCCACAATAAAAACGAGCATGAAGGAACAAATCTGACAGACAGACTCATAATAATTGAGAGGGAAACATTTATCGCACCTTCGTGGAAAAGTGCTCAGCCGCACGTGTCATGCAAGCAGCCCTACTCTACTTCTGGCGTTCCATTACGACTACTCCCTCAAATACGGTGGAGCGACGGCTCCTATTAAGGAGCGCACATTTGCACTAGCATTGAAACAAATAAAGGAGGCACTGCTACGGTGTACGATTCGTTGTCGTCGATCCGTGCCACCTCCACTTGTGACATTATGGCCGGCAATCAATGGGAGCACTGTTGTGATGTGATCCACTGGAAGAAGCCAGTGGAGTGATCAGTTCTTGGGCTCAGAGTTGCAAGGTTTTAAGATGAAAGACATAAAATATGAAGGAAAGAAGTGTAATTTAGGAGCTCGTTTTATTTTTAAGGCACAACATTAATGAGTACAAACAGACAATGATGCCAAGAAAAGTACAGAGGATGTTATTAGAAGTAATTATAATGTAAATGTGTAGAAAGAAAAGTGGACGACAGGATAACTTGCCACCCGCAGAATCCGAACTTACAACCTTTGAATAACGGGTTCCATGCTCTATCACTAAGCTACAGTGGTGGTCATCCCCCCATCCACTTTATAGGGTACAGTGAAAGCTCGTTAATTCACACCTCATTAATTCGAAATCTTGGATAATTCGAAATGGTCGCCGCAGTCCGGTCCGCAGTGCATAGGAGACCATGTGTAAAACGATTCGTTAATTCGAACAGAAATTGCTGCCTCTACGGATAATTCGAAGCGCGCGCCGCCAAGCGTCATCATCGTCAAACACTGGTGAAAGCTTTTACGGTCGAACGATAGGTGGCACGACCAGTTTTTTTGAGCTTCAAGTGGCCTCCAAGCAAAGGGCGAGCAAAGTATGGCCTCCAAAATCCAGGGAGCAATTTTTTTTTTTTTTTCGTAGCCCTCCCGCTATCTCAGCGCCTGGTGCCACTTGTACACGGGACCCACGGGACGCTGAGGAGTCGGCGGAGTAGTCCTAGGAGTCCTAGGCCGCTCCCAGCAGCGTCACTTTGTACCTCGAGCACGTTGTTCGTTCACGAATGATTTTGTGCGCGGGCGACAGGAAGGACTTCGGCATTACGCTGCTCACTGCCATGCACACGTTGGTGCGCGCATGGGAACAGGTGACCGCGGCCACAATCGCAAACTGTTTCCGCCCCAGTGGATTTGCAGCTGGAAGTGCGCAGGATAGTTGTGACGTCAACGTGGATGGGGCTGAGGAGCTCATGCCAGTGGCATTGCGCGACACTCTTCGAGGCGTACGTTTTGCCGATTATGTTGAAGTTGACACCGGTGAATCGGTGTGTGGTGCCCTGACTGATGAGGACATTATCGCTCAAGTAGCCGGTGCGCAGCCTGATGCTGAAGAGCCAGAAGGTGAGGAAGACGAAAATGACGAAGCGCCTGCGCGCTCGTCAGCTTCTGCGGTGATGGAGGCACTTAATGTGGCGCGTCTCTTCTTCAGCTTTGAAGAGGGTGAAAAGGATTCCCTGCGCCGCGTCCGCGCGCTGGAACAGGGAGCCATAGCTGTGGCATTCAGAAAAAAGAAGCAGATGGTCATCACCGAGTTTTTTCGCCAATAAATATTTTTCGTGCCCCCACCGCCAAAATCCACCCATTTTTGCTCACTTTCATTATTTCAAATTTTGTTTAATTCGAAATTGCTCAGCGTTCCCGTGAAATTCAAATTAACGAGCTTTTACTGTATATAAGTGCAATTAAAAGTGAGAGCATCAGTCAGCGCCGCCCGGTACCATTGCAGTGTGTGTGTGGAACACTCTTCATGCTTGTTGGCCTTCGTAGCATGTGATCTTATTGCGAGCTGCAGATGAGAATAATCTCTCGCATACTACCCGAAGGCATTCAGTCTGACAGAATGAGACCCTCACTATGAATAAGAAGTGTAACTTTAAGAACTCAATTTCGATTGCGGCTCCATTAGGACGTCAAATTCATAGGTCACTCCATTACCACAAAGCACGGTTCAGCAGCGTCCACCCTCACCGTTTGACTTCGATAACGCCAGCTCCTCGCCCACATGGCTGCTGCAGTTCGAGAACTTTTCGTTTGCTACAGGACTTTACGTCACTCCAACGAACGTACAGGTGCACCCCATGCTGCACTCTATGGACCCAAAAGCCAGGGTTGTCCTGGCGTCGACTACGCCAGCTGAGGCAGATTTGGACATCGCCGCCGTGAAAAACGCGCTCACTGACCACTTTGTTCACCAGCAGAATGACCTGTAGGAATCAGCATGCTTCCATCGCCGTAGGCGGCAACCGAGTGAAACAGTCAATGCACTTTTTACTGCACTCCAGACAATGGTCAAGTCCTGCAACTACTCGTCACCCGTCGTCAAAGAGCAACTTGTCAGAGACCATTTTATCATGGGCTTACTTGACCGCGAGCTCTCGGACAAGCTCTGTCAGAACCCGAAAATGGCACTGCAAGAAGCGCTGACGTACGTTTGACAGCACGAAAACGAGAATAACAAGCGAAAAACTGGTGACTCAGAGGCATCATCGTTTGCCTTCGACGCCACTCGCAAGAGAAAGCAAACGCAAGCTGTTAACACAACACAACAGCTGTACCCATTCTAAAGGCAAGCGTCGCCCCCTCGCACCGACTGTCTGGCTCGCCGAGCATCCTGCAGCTTCTGCCGCAACATTGACCATTTTGAGAACGTGTGCCACAAAAAAGAAGCAAGCAAGCGGGAAGCACACACAGAAACCTCCGG